ATGACTTCCATCAACTAATCGATCTGCACGACTTCGCGTACCTTATAAGTCAGGATGGCTGTAGTAGGGATATACAAGGACTGATACTGGTGCATTCAGCGCCGGCGAATGAGGAAAAGCGCCGCCTTATACGTGACACCTGGGCCAATATGGATTTACTACCGCGCGTCAATGGCGTTATACCATTGCGAATTATCTTTTTACTCGGCATGGTCGAGACCGAGGCACAACAGTTGGATATTGAGCGGGAGAATTTCGAAAATGGTGATTTAATACAGGGCGCCTTCGTGGATAGTTATCGCAATATGACCTATAAGCATGTAATGGCATTCAAATGGTTTCTGTATAATTGTGCGCATGCGCAAATATTAATTAAGGTCGATGATGATGTCTACGTGAATACGCCACAATTGCTCATCTACCTAGAGCGTACACTACAGAGTGATGCGTTGGAGAGTCGGGTAGGAATGCTACCCACTGCTGCAGCATCTATGCAACATACCGCCGATACCGTTAGCAACGCTGTTGAAAATACCAGCATGGAAAGTAGTAGTAGTAGTAGAAGTAGTACTAGTAGCAGTAAAAGTAGTAGTAGAGGTACTGTAAGAAATGCCTCCGCCGCGCTTCATGTCAATCCCCAGTTAACGACTTTGCGCGCTAATGCTACCCGATTTAATGCCGCTCAAATGTTATTCCGTCATCCGCAAGATTTGCTTTTCTGCAAAACGACTATAAATGCTCAAGTCAAACGTAGCTATCGCTCAAAATGGCGTGTCAATGTGCGGGAATATGCCGGTCGTTACTATCCGCCATACTGTCCAGGTTTTGCTATAATATACTCGCCAGATGTGGCATTGGCTTTGTACAATGCCGCGCAAGTATCGACATACTTTTGGATAGATGACGTCCATATAACGGGAATTTTGGCGCAAAATATCAGTGCGCCCATAACAAATGCCTACGAATATATACTCTATGAAGATGATTGTGACAATTTGCTCAATGATGTGACGACAAGTGATAGTGTGGAATTCATCTATGCTTGGCATCTCATCAATCCTGAACAAATGCAAAAGCTTTGGGAGCTGTATTTGGCAAAGGCGAAGAGGCATTTCTCATCGTTTACACATCAACAATATACTCGTACATCAACATTGTCACTGTTGCATAAAGCCGCCGCCGCCGCCGCCAAAAACACACCAAACAATCCGACTGAATTCAATAAATTTAAGAGCTACAGATAGTAACTTAGTAAATCTTAGTGAGATTGGTGGAGTTCCAGATGTTCATGACACAACACAGTACATATTTTAGCGCACATACATATACATACACCTAAGCAAAAATACATACAAATGTACATACACATAAACACACATAAACACAAAATAGTAACAGGGATGGAAATCACGCCGAAAAACAGTTCTTGAACCTTCCATTAATCGCATCATAAAGGATTCGAACGTAAAAAAATCTCAAAAATTTAAATAAATATTAAATTTATGTACATACATATATGCAGTTGAAAAGGACACTGAACGCCTTAAAAACTTGGAGTGGAGTTTTACTTTTAGTGAACTATAAAATGTTTATTGTGATGCAAACATTTTCGTCCACGGTTACGCAACGGTGGTAGCGGAGTAGCAGCTCTTAGCAGAATTTAGGAGGGTTTAAGGAAACTCATATTTTTCCATTTACGTAAAAATTTAAGGGGTTGTCTGTTTTCAATGACTATCAAACAAAGCATCAAAAAGCCACAGACTTACGAAACTTCCTTTGCATATACTATTTTAGATAATGACAGATCTTCAGCAAGAAAATTAAAATTAAAAAATTCTCAGCAAAAATAAAATAACAATTAAGTATAAAAAAGTAAGCAAGATAATAAAAAAAAAACTAACAAATAAAATATAAAAAAATAAAGAAAAATAAAATAACAAATACAATAAAAAAGTAAATAAAATACAATAAAAACCAAATAAAATAAAGGAAAATTAAATACCATAAACGAAATAAAAATACAAGTAAAGAAAATAAAGTACAATAAAAAATATAAATTAAATAAAAAGTACAAATAAAAAAATTAAATAAATAAAAAAGTAAATTGATAAAACAAAAAGACTAAATTAAATAAAAAATACAGAAAATAGAATACAATAAAAAGTTGATCAAAATACAATAAAAAGTTGATTAAAATACAATAAAAAGTTTATTATAATACAAAAAAATAATAATAAAATGAAAAGAAGTAAAAAATAAAATAAAATTAAATATATACACATTTGTAGTCATAAATAGGCGGTGCCAGGCACAAGCTATGTAGCGTTTCTTATGTAAAATAGGGTCCTGTATTGATGATATGATGGTGATTGTACTATGTATTTAAATATAGGCATAAAGAGATTTTAAGTTTTGCTTAAAAAAAAACTAAAAGCGAATATATTTTTAGAATTATTGAATTAAATTTTTTAATCTACATAATTTGTCTCACTTTGAAACAAATATTAATCAATTGATCTTCTCTTTTTTGGGAAAAAGTTCGGTTATTATTTTCCCACTGTCCAATGTTTTATTCAAATGAGCCAAAAACAACCGATTTAAAAAAACTTGACCGCCACAAAAGATAGGAATTAATAGATATCGTTCTAGCCATTAAAAAAAAAAACACTAAATGAATTTAAAAAAGATATTTCCTTAATAAGAGAGAATTAGATAATGACAAAAAAAAAAAAATCATTTTAAAGTTGAGAAACAACTTTTTTAGGCTAAAAATAAACAGACAAGGAGTTTCATAAGCTTCGCTCTACACTGTTTTTATCACTGATCAAAAAAGTAATAAAAATTTTCCATCCCTGTTTACTTATCATTGCATGTATGCCTCGCGTTTCATATTCAAACTCAATTATCTTCTCAATTGTTTTGAATATCTTGAAAAATGTGCTTTGTTTAAAAATGTTTTTTTTATGAAAAAGAAATCATTGCATTAAGATAAATATTTTGAAAGTAACTTGTGTGAAAGTTGGTTATAAATGTTCAAAAAAAAAACCTTGTAAAAAGCGAAAGAAATACATATGTAACTTATCCTTTAAGTATTTATAATCATTGTTCACAAAAATTTCATATCTGCATACATATTACATACATACATATCGCACACCGTCTTCAAAAGGGGCACAACTCAAAATTACACGTTTGTCAGAATATACGAAAAACTATTTCTTTGCACCTGATAATTATATGGGCAAGGGAGACTTCACCTTAGGTTTTTTTTAACAAATTATAACAAAAATTTGCTCCAGCTTTTGCTGAAAAGTAAATAAACGCTCTGTGTACATTTTTAGCGCATAATTTCAAAAATGCCAAATTTTGAGTTATGCATCTTTTGAAGACGGTGTGCGATATGTACACTAACGGCCCAAAGTAAAGTATTTGCCCAGGGAATTTTTGATAACTTAAGCAAACATTTTTTTTACCCAGCTTTTTATTAAAATTGGGGTTAACACTACAAAAAAAATAAGTACAATTTCTGAAGTTTGTGCAAAATTTTCATGCAGATTTTCAGCTTTTTGATCAGATTTTTTAGAAATTAAATTTTAGTACAATAAATATATTTTTTTTCATGCAAGTTTTTCCATTTAAAAAATTTTGAAAATACTTTGAATGGAAAAAATGCGAAACACCTTCGATAAAAAAAAAAACTTCAAACTTGCATAAAATTTAATGAGCTACAAAAAAAAATAAAAATTAAATGTGATTAAAAAGTTTAAAACTTGCATGGAAATTTATTGATTTTCCCTGAGTTTTGCACAAAGTTTAGAAATTGAACTTTTATTTTTTTTTATTTTAGTATTAACAATATTTTCATAAAAAACTAGCAGAACAAATTAATATAAAAGCGGTTGTGAAAAATTCTCTGGGTAAATACTTTTGGCCGTGAGTGTATGTACATTTACAATTATACTCAACAAAAATATAAAATTAATACATACATACATATAGTGCAAATGTTTGTCATCAAAAATTATAACTTAAATTGTAAAATGTAAATTGTCTGTGTAGTGTGCAAATAGCAAAGTGGTGTAATAAGTGGTATCTGTGCAAATAAGTAATAGCATGAGTTATTGATACTAGTTAATGTCTATTGTATGGTAATGCAGACATACCAATTTTTATTTATTTATTTTTTTTTACCTTTATGTTGAGAGGTAATTAAATTTTATTGCATAAACCCTGTGGGGGCTTATAATTCGATGAGATGTGTCAAAGTAACCAATCAAAAATTTAATTTTTGATTTTTAGTTAGTTACGGCTTTTTTTTTTTATTTCAGTGACGATGTGAGACAGGGCCATTCTATATTAAGGTAACTATATGTATTTAGGATGCATACTGCACTCGTTAAAAATTTTGAATTGACTTTCAAAGCAAATACATTATAAAGTTTTTATATATGTATGTATGTATGTACATATGAGGCATTCTTCTTTAACTGAAGCGGATCCCGAATAGCGAATTCACTAGATAAAAAAAAAAAATTCCGCCGTATTTTATTTAAAAAAAAAAAACGCCACTCAACATTTAAAAGTAAATATTTGCCGAACTTTCAATAATATAACTGCTTCTCTTCTATAGTTTGTAGATCTTGGCGAAAAGCTCCCCCTTTCTTCTCTGCTATAGGATCCATGATTCTCTGGTAATTGGTCAATATGACTTTGATGCACTTCCTAAGTTTTTAAAGTTATCCAACATGTGGTTTATGATTACGGAGTAGCCATAATTTTTTTAATCCCCATTCGTTTTAAAGTAGGAAAAATAAACAATTTTTAGCGACCTCAAAAAAAGGAGGAGGTTATCAATTATTCGGATTTTTTTTTTATAAAATCGTTCTTGGGTTCTCCGAGTTTTTTTTTTAACTGTGTATTCATCAGAAATGTTACAAACTACACTTGGCTCGTTGAGACAACTTCTATGCGATGAAGACTTGATATTTAAATCAATTTATTTATAGAAACGCACTGATAAGACTTTAAAAACCATGCACGTAAGAAACGAATATCAAAATATTACACACATAACAAACAACTAACGACGTCTCGGCATTAATATATATATATTTTTTTTTAATTGTTGATCTGTGTAATTATATGTATTATCATAAAGAAATGAATGTGTTTGTTTATAAAATGACTACTTATTTCACTTATGTATGTCGGCCTCTAACGATTGCAAAATTAAGCTTCTAATATATGTATATATTTTTTTTTGTAAATCAGTAAATGTTATTTATAATTAAATTATAATTGAAACCAATTGAAGTTCCAATAAAATCATTGTACATGTAAGCACATAAATGTATTACAAGTTGATTGAAATTAATAGCTTACAAACTTTTTCAATACGTAACAACCAGCAAATACAAATTATATGAACAGAAAAAACTTTAGGGAAGTAATTAATTAATGTAAAAATTTTGTTTTAATTAAGTCTGTCCGTTTGTTTTGTACATTGAAACTAGTCCCTAATGGCTTAAAAGTTATTGTCATGTTCTTGTTTATTTATTTGGTCTTAAAAAAGTGATTGTAAAAAGGTGATTTCCTGATATTTGCAAATCTCTTTTTCTTACAAAGAGCTTTTTTATAGTACACTTACACTCGCACCTTGTGCCTAGCAGCATAAATGGCTTACAGAGGCCGGGTTCAAAAACACTGTTGGACGTTAATTCTACTACCCGTAATACGATCTGAATTATCAAAGTGGCGCAGCTGACCGTTTCGAAAGCCTTAGACCGATCTAGTACGACGACATCGTATTGATTAAGGTCTTTGGGTATCTGCTAAATACCCCTCCATTTCCCTTCAGCTCTGGGATGTATGTATTTATTCTAGCCTCCATGGCAATTAGAGCGTTTTTAATTAATAAAGTTTATTTTTTATTTTTATTTGTTTGGTGTTTATTTGTCTTAAAGTTCTTTACTCTGCCAAACAATGACTCAATTCTTTTTGCTGAGAGCGGATTTTCAAATAGGTTTGGATTCTATTTGAACTTTTCTCTCTGGCCTTGTAAAATACCGATTTTGTGAATTTTAATTTTACTTTTAAATGTCCTTAGGGATGTTCCGTCAGGCTTAGGTCGAAACTGCATACATAGACGTCAGCCTACCATTGTTATTAGATCTTCTTCCAACTATCGTTTTGTTGTTTCTTTTGAAAAATCCAAGAAATTGACATATCGCAAGAGATTAGTATCATGCCATTTAATATCAAAATATTGCACAGTAGGCGTAGAATGTGTGTACTCACAAATCGCCATAAGAAATTCTAAACAATATTCCCTCGAGCGAACGCCGAATATTTGTTAGAACGACGTCGTGTTGCAGTTTGTTTTTTTTCAAAAACATTGACAGGCCATTCGATGCCTTCGCCCTCAATAATGTCTTATGTTTTATTTTTGTCAAAATATCGCACTATTTGAAAAATATCATTTTAGCCGCATTGAGTAATATCGCCGTATAAGTCGCGGTCGTTCAGATTTAATTAATTTATAAATTATGTCTTTGCTTTATGCACACGGAAAAATCTTGCAATAAAATCAAGCCAACAACAGCTAAACAACAGCTAAACTTTTCATTGCCGACTTAATGCGGCTAATCACTTTTCACACACTGTAGGAAGTACCGCGCGAGAGGAATGCAAATTAGAAAGCTACATAGCAAGTAAGACTTAACAAATGATTAATTAGTCGGACTGATTGAAAGCGATAATTGTATTCAGAGATAAAGGGTGATTCATTCAATAAAATATTACGTTCCAAATTATGGAAGGAAACTCAACTAAACTCAGCGTACTATTCTAGGGATTAAAAAAAAATATTAAAAACGAAAAACGTTTC